GCTGAAGTGATCCTTGACATAATCAGTTGACAATTATGCAAATCAGGAGCTAATGTGAAATTAATGTGAAATTGTTATAATTTCATAGTTGTAACTGTTGGGAATTTCACACTTGCTGCATTTGGAAGTTAAGTGTAGGTTAACACGACCTCATTTGCATAATTTATAATGAAGTTCTAGAATAGCCTTTTTTGTTAAGATACATGTAAGGCTGTCATTGGGTGGAGAATATTTTATCAACTGATATAATTCATGCAAATGAGGCTCTTATTTAAGAGTCATTGCATGAGAAAACCAGGCAAAATCAATGGAAGGTCGGAAGATGGGGGTCGGCCAAATCCGCTCAAATTTTGTACATAGGATAGGTATGGGGAACTATTACCAGCCATATGATTAAAACCCTCCAGCTCTTTTTTGTTATGGAGTTCTGGAACCCCCCATGGAGACCCTTAATAATCGGAGAATTTTTGCCTGGAAATTCACGAAATTCGGATCGCTCTCTCCAGAGTTCTATTAAAGATGCTGATATATGATTTTGATTTTTACATTTCTTCATCTATCTAGTCTAACCAGACGAAATTTGAAGCTCTGGCATTGAACTTTAAAGGGTATGCTTGGGGGTTATCAGGACCATTGAAAGCAGACTTGGAACTTTTTTAATATTAGTCATTTTTAAAGGGCCATTTGTCACACTATCTGCATTTGTTTGGATTGGTTTTGATTTTTCTGAATAGAGGAACATCTATTCATTAAGAAACAATCGTCGTTTATTTGGGATCTAAATATTGTGAGTCGTGGGAAGAGGCTAATTATGGGGTATTTTAGCCTCTGAAAAACAATAAATCAAGCAATTTCGCTAGCCTAATTCAAAAGGAATTGACTAGAATATTGTCTTTTTTAATCAGAAGTATGCAGGGGCATGATGACTCCTAAAATAAATGCAAAGGAAGTGATAAAGGCTCTGTATGGGGGTTCTGAGTATACTTCAAAGAGATTTAACTGATTTATCATGTGAATAATGCTAATTGTCCCACTTCACGTTAGTGGATTATTACTAACTTGCAGTTTGTGCATAGAAAAATAGTTATGAATAATTTGGGCTCTGCATGGGGTTTAATGGGACACCTTTCACCTACTTTTTCCTTTATAAGTGTGTATTTTTTTACATTATACATTATACTAACTACCACGCCCTCCATAAGCTGTTACCGTAAACCCTATACACAAGCGTTACTAACTTGTAGTCTGTGTAGACAAGTGGGTTCACAATACCTTTTGGCTCGGCATATGCGTTAGCATTTATATTAGTATATCAATGAGTGTAAAGTTACAATGTGCAAACACCAAAATACGACAAGAAATGAACAAGCAAACTGATAATTTAGCATGGCTCCTACTTAGCCCCACAGTCATTTGGGGTAGAATCCTATATCGTGGGACCCTCCCGGGTGAAAGGCTGGGCAACCGGACGGTCAATGTCAGACAAATTGAAGACCTATCTGAATTACATTTCAACCAGGGAGCTACATGTAGGTTCGGGCCCGAAAGCTGGTGTTGTACAAGTGGCTCAGGAGATGTCAGGCTGATGGGAAGCTGTTCTAGACTGATCGGCCGTTGTTCTAGCCAATTTAGTGGCGCACAGGCAAGCAGTGACAAACCATTTTGCTGAACTGTCGGCATCAGAGACAGCAGGAAACACAGAATGTGTGGCCACTGACATAAATAGGTGATGAAAAAGGAATGCGAGTGGCACTTATTACAGTAAAAGACAGTGTAAACTAGCATTCACTACAGTCAGCGGTTATAGTGAAAGACACCGATTGTAATCTCGT